GCAGCCGTGCTCTTGCTGCACAGGCTTTTTGCTGACATTTGCAAGCTCTGTAGAAATCGGTGTATTCTACGCCCCAAACCCAACTACTAAAAGAGCTTGCAGTATAAGCAAAGAACTGAAGTTTGAGCAAACAGCCCACTGCATAAATGTAAAGTCAGCAATACAGCCACACACACTCGGTGCCCAAGATTTCTGTCCCCATGATGCAGGGAAATGCAGAGAAAGCAAGTTTAGCATAAAACAGTCCAAACATTGTACCTTGGAAGCTGCAATCGTGGAACTGCTACTGTCACGCCATGAAGAGTGGAGTCAATGTTGAGTACAGGTTACACTGTTCAATATCCACAAGAAGTGAAAACACACATTTTAGTTCTTCTCAGATCACAGCCTGAACTGCAGAGGCGGCTCTCAAACTTGCACTTGCTCCAGCCTTGAAGGACTGTACTGAAGATTGCCATCAGATTGCCCACTCTCCAGGAAATTCACATGCTTAAATATTCATTCGTGTGTGCTGTTTCAGAACCTTTTAGGCTGACAATGACAGTTTCCAGAATGAGGACAACATCGACCTGCTACAGCAGACCTTGATTCACCAGCGATGCTTCCCTTCATGAGTTGTCTGAACCAAGCAACAACGACATTACAAGTAAACAGTCAAAGATCTCTTTTCTGTGGTGGTTGTCGGTGGTGTTGTGGGGTTTGCGTTGGTTTTGAGGGTGGGGCGGGGGATGGAGTGGGGTTAAATTGAGTCCACAGAAACGAGCCCTCCCACACAGTGAGAAAGCACCCAGCATAATGCATAGAATCCGCACCTGAAATTGAAGCAGTCTACTCAGCATGACAGCCTATCAGTCTGCATTCTCCACGTCAGCTTTGCAAATCAGGCAATGCATGAAATCCATCGCTGTCTGAACAGATTCCCTGCAGGCTTTCCTCATGCAAGCAGGAAAAGCCTTGATACCCAGGCACACGGATGCATGCGCGCCATCCCTGCTGAAACTGAAGGGCTAGTCGAGTCACAGCACCCAACAGCACCACCGAATCCAGGCGACCCTAGCAATGGCTGGAAAATGGAAGAGATGGTTTCAGGCAACGCCTCCTCACCTGAGGCAGCGACTGCTCAAGCAGGTCGTCCCTCACGATCACCAGACAGCAACCAGCAGGCCCCAAGTTCTTCCCTCCGCTGGCGTAGATCACCCCGTATTTCTTAATGTCAACTGGCCGTGAAAACAGGCTGGAAGTCATGTCGGAAACCAGCACGCGGTTGGGCCCCACGTCTGGGTCCTCGTGCATTGCAAGGCCCTGCACCGTTTCGTTGGTGCACACATGCACATAGGCAGAGTCGTCCGACAGGTCCCTGAGGAAAGGCATCAATGCTATGAGTGGCAGCAGGTGGAGGCCAGGGAATGAGCGTCTTGCAACTTCCCAGAACATTCACAATGCAAGCCTATCCACCAATATGGTGACGCCAGGCAATTATCGCAGCGTGCAATCGAGTCGTTGTTCAGTGCTGTGTGTGGGTGGGTCAGCATGCACTCACCATTCGTCAACGGGGGCATAGTATGTATGTCCATTGGTTGTTGTGTCTGCAACAGCCCTGACCTCCCCGTATTTCGAAGCTTCATTCATTGCCTTTGTCGACCAGTTGCCACCAATGACATAATCGCCCTTGCCACTCTTGCCTGTTCAGCATAAAAACACCAAAACGGCAGGCTGTTAACAGCTGGTGTGAAGCAGCACTGGTTGCACACTTGCTGCCTCCAAACAAGACAAGCACTTTCACTTATTCGGCAAAACAGACTGTACGATCTCTTTGTATGCAGACTGCACGAATGTCTTCATGTACAACAGCACTTTCACCTATTGGGCGACAGACTGTACGAATGCCTTTGTATGCAGACTGTACGAATGTCTTCATATACAACAGCACAGTGACAGGTGACTTCGCTTTCTTGCTTACCCATTCTGGACAACTTCCCAGCCCAGACATACGGAACTGCAAACCCTTAGGACTTCAGAGGCATGTCGGTCCAGCAAAACGACAACAGCTGGCATTCCAGTTGAGGTGGCTGGAATGTGTTTCACAGCTTGGTTTCAAAGATTATGCCGTTCATGCCACCATGCACCAAAGCGACTGCCAAACCCCACAGCAATCGTTCGGAAATCAATGTTGCGTTGGATGCCTCTTGTATAGCGCCTTCAACGCAACTCTGTTCTGAGATGCCCGACATGCAAGAGTACAGGGCCAGTACACATCCATGACTTGATGAACATGAATCAGCAACAGCTGTCTGCATTCTTCACTTTGTTAAGTCCTGATGCAGAAACAGACTCGATTCTGTCTAACATGCTGCTTTCAGTCTGGATATTGTGTCAACACCAGACCGCTGACATTGTGGACTATGCAACTGAAGGCGGACCACTTACCAAACAAGTTAAGAGGCACAGCAGCGAACTGCCCGTGAGCTCCGCCCTGACAGGCAAACAGGGGAAGCGCACTTAAGACAAGCAGCGGAACAAACGCGCCCAAAACTCTGCATACACACACCACTGGCTGCCTAACAGAGACATTACAGCCCTTTGGAGCCAGCCAACAGGGCGCTTGAGACACCCATCCAGGTGTCCATCACGAAAGGCAGGCTGGCGTCAAGATGAGTGGAAGATTGCGATGTCATTGTGACAACGGCAGGAATGGAATGCTTTAGCATTCCGTCGCACTGCAGCGTGAAAAGTCTTGCAGACAATTCACAGTGAGAGTCGGTCACTTGCAGAAAAAGGGTGCGCAGATGCGCCTTCGCAGCGCAGCATCGTTTCCGATCGTCCTTTTGTTTATCATTTATTGTAGTTTCCTCATGTTTACTGCCACTTATCCGGTTGACTGATCGATCACTTTTGTTTGGATGTCGGGCCGTGCCCCACCCCGGACACACGGGCTTCCGGGCACCGGTGTAAAAACAGGATCCGGACCTCAGATTCAGCATCCGGCGCCAGCCCCTCACGCGGAAGGCGCGCCAGACCTTTCCGTGCCGCTGCCGCTGACAGTCCTGTACTGTTCCGCCAGCCCCTACCGGCCTGCTGACTACTGGCGGCGCGTCCGCCGTGGACAGCCGCTCAAGCGCGGCCGCCCACCTTTCCTGCCATGACTAACCGGCGGGGGCGTCAACGTGAGACGGCGCCCAGGGGCGCCGCAGGCCGCGCACGCCAATGCCCCGCCGCCGCGCCGGCCGCCCCAAAATGGCAACCGAAAGCGCAGCGCGGAGGGTTGGCCCCCGGACAGCCCCCCCACCAAAAAGCAGCCGCCAGAACGCCTCCCAATCCGCATAACCCAGGCCTGCCGCATCCCGCCCTCAGAGCTCCCAGCCGCCCATATGGGCCCCCAAAGGCCCCACCCTCCCCGCGAAAATCGATGCGAGGGATCGGAGAGCGATTCCCGGCCGGGGGCGGGGGAGGGTCGCGTGGCGCGCCGCGGATGCGATTAACCCACCTGGAAGAACAGGACGCGGTAGTTGTCCGGCACGCCCAGCAGCCGGCGCACGTTGCCCGACGTGCGTTCCATCATCGCCGCCACCGGCCCGTTCACGTCCCTGTGGCTCATCTCGTGGATGCCCATCCCGCAGCCCTGGTAGTTCAGCAGGTTCTTCTGGATGTACGTCATCACCTCCGTGTCCAGCATCGCCGGCCCCGCGCTGAAATTGTGCGCCCGGCCGCTGCCTCCCCGCGCGCACCCGTCCTCCCCCACCGCCAGGCCGGGCGCCCAGCCCGGCGGCGCCACCGTCTCCATGTGCGCGCCCTTGCCCATGCCGCTGAACCTCTGCACCGAAGTCTCGACCCGGCCGGGCCAGGAGATCCCCTGGGCTAGCCGCGGGGGCCGAGGGGGGTCCTGCGGCCGCTCTGGGGCGGGCCCGCGGGCTGGCCGGCCTGGGGCGGTCGGGGCCGCGGCGGCTGGGCGGGCGGGGGGGGGAGATGGGGGTTGGCGGCCTGCGGCGGGCGGCCGCGACTCAAATCGGCGGGATCGACCGGCCCATGGGCCGGTGGACGGACGGCGGGTCCAGGCCCGACATGCGGGCCAGTCATCAAGCCGAACGCAGAGCGGACTAAAGTGAATTTGGGCGAGGTCAAAGGCAAATTTGAGGCCAATTAAGGTGACTTTAGGGCGGATTAAGGCGAATTTGAATTGCGGGTTGGAGGGAATTAAATCGCGGACTGGAGGGTTTTAAATGACGGATTGGAGAGAGTCCGCGTTTGTGAGGATGGGTGGGTGGGTGGGAGAGGGGAGGGGTTGTGTTGGGGGGAGGGCGGCGGTACTTGAGGGTTTTGGTGCCGAGGCATTAGGGGAAGGGGCGGTGGCTTAGGGGCGCGGCGGATGGCGAACGTGGGGGCGGGGTGGCGCGTGGCGGCCACGCGCCGAGGCGCGCCTGGTCCCACGCTGGGGTGGGCGGGTATGAGTAGGATTTTCGTGTGTGTGGGGGGGGTGGCGCTGACGGGCGCGGGTGCGCGGTGTGGGGGGGTCGCGGAGCTGACCAACCCCGGGTTGGAGGGGGTGCGACGGGGTTGTGGCTGCCGCACGAGGTCCACGCCGGGATAGGGGCGGGCTCTTCACGCTGGAGCTTCCCCTGGGATCCGCCGATCGCGCCAGATAGATCAACACAGTACATTCGCAGTCGATCCTTCCACAAAGCCCCCAAAGCGACGAGAGAGTGCATGTCGACGTGGACTAATGAGAATCACCCGGGACCTGACCTTAACGTCAAGCTGACGCTAAGCCTACCCAAATCAACATAGCGTCTTCCTTAAGATGTCGGCATGCTGCATGCTTGGATTCTCAATGATAGCGGCGAGGAAGGCCGTCCGAACTGGCATGGGTTTTAAAGTCAGAATGTTGTGAAAATAGTTCAAGATGAGCTGCATAGATGTGTGATGTCGAGTTTTTTCCCTTAGCGTTTGATCGTTTTTATAATTTTTCTTGTGGCACTTTACAGCCAGAATGGCGATATGACCCGTTTGCTGAATGAACATCAGAGGTGGTATTTGTTTTGCCATGTGCTGACACGGATAGAGTGGTCATGGGTGCGCTGGTCGAGTGACATCATGTCGCTCGAATCGCCATGACGGCAGATATGTTGGGTGCGGCAGCTTTTTATTCGAATCTGATGTGCCAAAGGGTAGAGGGCTGAAGTCGCATTGTTTTCTGCAGCCTGGGCCGCATGTCTTGTGGCATTGATGCAATCCTTGCATGAGGATTCAGTAAGCGGCTGGTGATTGCTGACGAATGTGTGACACCCGTTTGGGGACAGGAAGGGCTGGGATGGAATTGGATGTGAGCTCCCAGAGTTGATGTGACTTTCAAGGATCAAAAAAGATTTGATGTGCTGACATGTAAGAGGTTTAGAGGTTTCGAGGGACTATTTTGGGTGGCTGCCGCGACATGTGCTGCGCCACAAGGTCGCGTTGCCCGTCTTGGAAGGGGAATGCAACGGGACGAACAACAGTTTGTGTAGTTGTAAGCGCGTTGGTCGTGTTCTCCGAGTGTCTGTCCTTTGCACACAGGTCGCGGTATGTAGCCCGAGCAGTTTGGCTTCAAAGCCAACAGTTTTCGGTCCCAAACGTTCGGATTTCAGCGTGATGCACCCATGGCATGCTCGTCGTTCGGGCAGCTTGGATTGCTTGGTGAATCTGTGAGAATCGCTGCGGTTTCTGTCAGCATTTCTGTCCATGTCCTTTTGGATTGCATGCGTCTGGACATGCATGGCAAGTGGGCAGGTGTTGCCCGTGTCTCTGTGGCCGATTGCCAGCGACAGGCATGCAAAGCGACCCAATCTCACCGCCTTTTGTCGCTCTTTTCAACTGCTCTGGGGTAGGGGGCGGGCGAATCGTTTGAAAACTTTCACTGTGCTACGCAGAGGGTCTGACCATGTTTCGGCCACGATTTTTACATATTGCTGTTCTGTCCTCCAGGTTATATGAACATCAGTTTGTCAAGAATCTGGTGCCCTACGATAGGGAAAGCCACAAAGTAAAGAGCTTTCTGCCCCATCAAATTGTTCATGCGTGTCCTTGTCCTCAAACGAAGCAGCACACACAGGAAACGTTGAGTGGGACAAGATAAGCACGATAGTCGACTTCTGCACAATACGGAGCTGCACAGTGCTCTCTTTCATTGCAGCTGCAAGTAAATCGACAGCGTGAGTTATTGCCGACTTGGCGACAACATCTGGGCATAGTAAATTCCATGATCAACGTATTCAGTGGCAGCACTGGCTCAGCCCGCGGGATCCAGTGTGGGTCGGACTGCCTGGACGCCTGGATCTCTGTCAACCCATATAAATGTTGATTTCGGGGTCGTAATAAGCGGATGGATGAAGCACACGGATGGATGGCTGATGGCGATGCCAAGGACGGGCATTGATGCCAGTCAGGTCGACCGTCCGTGCAAAGCGCGACGTGGGAAGCGATGATGGCCCTGCAGAAAGTAGCCTTCGGAGCTCAGGCGACATTCTAACCTATGTATGCTCTGAAACATGATCTAGCTTCGGCCATGCGTACAGGCAGATTCAGCGTCGATGGCAGATTTGGGAATGCCTGTTATGGGCGCCCATTATGACGTTGAGCGCAACGCACAAATTCAAACCTTTTGATGATTGGCATGGCCAAGACCTTGCAGTTTGCGGGTTGGCTGACCAGCTCCGTTAGGAGAATTGAACTGCCATAATGAGTTAAAGAGCTGCATAATGAGTTAAAGAAATGGATATAATAATATGCAGGGCGCAGGTTTATTTTGGGCAGAATTGCATGAGGTAAAACACAAGGACACACAATAGCCAGAAAAGTTGCATTAATTTGGCAGTGAATGCATGCTAGACATACAACAAATTATAGGCAGGCGGTTTCATGTGTCATTGCGCAGTGTCGTTGGTCGAAACTTGGTGAACGACTGGATTTTCAGGATCCCTACAGATTCGACGGGTTTGTCGTTAGTGGCATGGACATGGTGCAGGTCCTGGGTGAGTGTCTTCACCAACGCAACGGTACATTTTTCTCGAGTGGCTGGGGTTGGGCGTCCCTGTCCACTCGGTTGCTCGGTTCAGTTTGCATACCGAATATCGTCTTGGTATTTGTAGCACCGAGAATTTCTTCTGCCTCAAGGAATTGTAATCTTTCTCAACGATCCTCATTCTGACTGGCAACCCATTGACAAGTGGACACAGCAGCGATGTTTTATGAGCAGTCGAATAATGCACTGATTCAGTTGCCTTAGTTTATCATGCTGTATCCATTTGGAATGATTGCAACACTTCAACATCTCTTGCGCAGCACACATGGCCTGTCTGAGGCGGACTCACTTGCTGCCACATATTCAATGATATTCTAAATGGCCCCATCAGCAAATTCATATTGTTCATAGCGCGTTGTCTCCGATGTGCTCCTCTTTTTTTGGCTGCATGGAGAACATGTAAGTCTCCAAGAACACAAGAAGATGTGTGTATTGCTCGTGATGGCATGGACTGGCTTGGATGCTGGGTTCAGGAACGGGCCTTGTAGTTCAGGTGAGGTAACAAGCCCTATGGGGTCGCCCTGGATTTTATCGGCAGCCTGGCAGGCATGGCGAAGTGGGTTGTGCGATGTGGGCTGGATTAGTGCTGAAGATTTAATCTATCGATGGACAGCAGCCTTGTTGAGAATGTGTGCTTTAATGTAACAGATGATGTAGACATCTCGAAGAGCAGGCCAACAACACACAGCGCTGGTCAACATGGACACCAAGAAAACATTCAATCAGGGCCCACTCGATTACAGGCGAGCAAAACTGCCAGGAAACCCTGAGGCACGTGAGGCACGCAAAGCCTGCCCACCGCACAACCCACGGATTCACACCATCTTTTGCTCCACAACAGGTGCTCATTGTACGATATGTTTTGTTTCTTCTTTTGCAACGAACCGTTCGCCCGACTCCTGTTGCCCTCCTATGCACCATTGTGAAATTTCTGTGAATAAGGTCGATTCCAATTTCTAACAAAATACAGGTCAAGACTGCTCGAAAATTGAAGTGCATGTGTGTTGCATTTTCTTGGCTTTTCGCCTCAAACCCAGCTTTGCTGGCTACTTCCCTTGCCAAACTCTACAGATGGACTACAGGCGCTATGGCACAAGTGGATTGCACTGGATTAGCCACGTGCTGGCATTGGATTCTTGAGCACGAAACCAAGGCGAAGCCCACCCACGTGGTGTCTTCTTCCCGTGTTTGACACGCTCGTCATCTCAAGCAGCGAATCGCGCGCTTCCCATCCACGCCAGCTGCACGTGGCCGGGCGCTGCGCCGCGCTCAAAGCGCGCCGCAGCCCACACCCAGCCCCTCAGGCCGCCGACGCCGCCCGCCTGCCCCTCAGCGCTGGCGCCGCAATCCTTCCGCCACCACCAGTCCTGCGCTGCGGCGCCCAGGACGACGGCAAACGAGCTGATGGGCGAACCGTGGGTGACCCCCCGTGGTGCGCTGACACGCCAGGTTCGAGGCGGGTGTACGTCTGCAGCAACCACGGCCCCACAGAGAAGTAGAGGGAAATCACCGACAGGCACGTTCCCCGTTTCCCAAACAACCATCTGTCAATCATGGACGAGTCACCGTCGTATCAGCGCGAGTCTGCGCGGCTTTAAAGGCCGGCAGCGGGGCACATTCGGCGCGCTCGCGTGGTCACACCGGAACTTTGTCCGCAAATCGCCGGAAAGCGACGGCCATGCCGGTCCCCGAGCCCCAAGGCCCGACCCGGTGTCCTCCTCCGTGGCTGCCCGCCACCCACGTCCTTCCCCCCCGCGCCCTAAAAGACCCGCCCATGGGCGAGCGCCACGCCTCCCAACACGCGCCCCACCGTCCGTTTGGCGACCGCCCACCAGCTGTGCAATTGTCCGCATTCTTGTGGTCGGGGCCAAATAGATGGCGGGCGGCCGCGCCCCGCGCACAGGCGAGCACGCCGGGCCAGCGCAGCGCGGCGCGGGCAGACGCCGACAAGCACCACCGGCGCGGCCGCCGGCATCGCATCTCGGCGCCTGAGCCCCCATCCCCAGGGCGGGATCCCGCCAGCGGTGGCCGCCGGCTTCCCCTGACGATCTTCGCGCCTCGGTGCGGGGACTCAGCGGCGGGACGAGGCACCGGCGGCGGCGGGCGCCTGGGCGGGCGTGCCCGGGCGCGGAGGGGGGATGATCGGGATGCAAGGGGAGGGCGGTGCGCGGGAGCCGACGGGCGGCGGGGCCGGCGAGCAGGTGACGTCCCTGGCGGTCGGGCTTCCGCGAGGCCGCCCGGTTCGATGGGGCATCCGCACGGGCATTGCCGTCCTCCGGGGTGCCTGGCGGGGACCGGGCGGCGGGTGTGGATTGGAGGGATGCGATTTTTCTTTAAGGGCGGGGGGTGGGGTGTGTGGCCGCCATTTTGCCGAATCTGGAAGATCGGGGAGTCGCGGGTGAGGTGGCTGCCGCGCCTGGGTCGGGGAGGCGCGCGACGGCGGCGATGATTGGGCGAGGCGAGGGCTCGATTGGGGGCGGCGGGGCTGAGCGCGGATCGTTTTGGTTCGCGCTGGTTGGCTTGCGGTTGCGGAGCGTGCCGGCAGCGTCCCGGTCGGCGGCCCGAAAGGGGAGGAGGGCCGTCGCTGGCGCTGGCGCAGGCCGGACGGCTGCGCCTGGCCGGGGTGCGGCCGGGGGTCGGTGGCAATCCGGCTCGTGGGCGCCGTGGATGGGCTGGTAAGGTGGCGTGGGGAAGGGGTTGGTGGGATGGAGGCTGGTTTGCCGAGGCGGGGAGGGGAGGTGTCGCGCCCGGGCGGCGTGTCGCATCGGCGGCGGCAAAGGCGCGGAGTGGCGGAGCGGGCGGCCGCCCGGGTTGCCGGGAGCGGGGTCAGGGAGGCATCGCCAGGGGAGGCGTTCCCGCTGTGTGCACGGGGTTTTCTGCTAGGGGTGATCGGGATTCATGGGCCATTCGGGTGCGGTGCGCGCTTGGGCCGAAGCAACCGGGCGCTGCGGCGTTCGGTCGGGAGGGCGTTGGAGCGTGCCGAGTGTCTGAACCTCGTTCCGCGCCACGGATCCCGGACATGGGGCCTTACCTGCGATTTCGCCTTGCGATGCCCATTGGGAGGCGGGTGTGAACGTGTGCCTCCTCTGGGGCCCTTTTGCCGCCGCCTGCGCTGCGCCCTGCCTTTGCAGGCGCCTCGTTCCGCGCTGACAATGCTGTTGCCATTTGTGCGCGAATCCAGCGCGTCCTGCGCAGCGTGGTTCCCCAAGGAGTTCACAGGAGCCTGCTGGCTTCCAAGTCTCCCGTTTTCTTTTCATTGGATGATCCATTAACCGACCTTCTGCTTTGCTGTGAGCAGATGGTGGGTGGTGCGATGTCCGCCTCTGAACAGATTCTAGCAGCCTCCACACAACCCTTGGCGTACATCCATGGAGGCAACCCGACGGTCAGCCCCTCGGTCCTGCAGTACCCGGAGGGATTTGGCAAGGACGACGCAGCTGCTGTGGACAGGCTGTCACGCAACCTGAACTGCTTGTCGGTCGGGGGCCACATCCCTGAAGAGTACATGGGTATGGTTATGGAAGCTGGGCTAGGGAATGCTTTGAGGTACATAGCTTGCGACGACTCAACAGACTACGATTCGCCTGCTCATGTTCTGCATGGGATCCTAGAAAACTGGCCTGCTATCCCTTCTTGTGCAGTATGCCGTAGTGGAAGTGCTGATGCTGACCCTGCCGTGCAACCTTCCAAGAATCGTGTTTTCGTTTCCGCCGCTGTGGTTTGCATTGATGTATGCAGGTGCCCAGATGTTCTGTTGCATGTGACCGTTGGTGCTTGCCTGATGCCTGGCCTTCCCCATGCAGGACGCATTGATGAAGAGCCTGCCCCAGTTTCGTACATCCCAAAAATCCTGCATTCAAGGTGAGCACCCACACTGAATGCGGCAGACCCTTCCTGCTCAAGGAAGTGTGGCGTGAATTGAATGCATGTGTGACGATGCAGACGATTAGGGGGCTGTTTTCATAGGAGAATCTTTGGGATATTAATATCAGGTGGACAGTATATCTTGTTTGAAAGGGAAACTATGAACAGAAGAATGAACTGGGTCTGTGGTATGCTTTGGCGTATGTGTGTTAGGGCTTCATGTTGTGGTGGTGTCGTTGGCTGTCCATTCTTTGTCCCTGGGGACTGCAGTGCACTCGTAGCACAGGCACAAGGGTGTTTGCCTCAGCGATCAGCTAGGAGTTTCCCTTGACTGCTTTCTGTGCGACTGAGGTTCCAGCAGCAGCCAAGAACCTCCCCCATTTTCCCCACTTACCCCACAGCTCCGGCAGCGTGGTCACAGCAGTCCACAGTCACAGGCTTAGTGTAGTTTTCGTCCCTTTTTCTGAGCAAAGCCCACCCTCTTGTGTCAGGTCAGCCACCGACTTGTCATCCCTTGCGACTGTGGAAGAAGATGTTTTCAGCATGGGGGGTCTGGAGCTGGACAATGCGGGTGCTGTGGAGTCGCCTGCGAGCTCAAGCGACAGAAATTTGCAGCTGAAAATTGGTGCCCACCCGTCTCGCACGCTGCTCGTTAGCAATATTAACAGCACGATGTCTGCAGAACATCTGAAGGCATTGTTTCAGGTAGGAAATGGTTTCATCGATGGCCATCGAGCACTGGTGCTTCAGTGGCCATGAACACCTTTTGGACACCAGCTTGTCTCTGTGGGGTGCACTTAGCTGAACAGGTACCCTGTGAGGGAAGCCGTGCTTTTGTCAGCTCTCACGCTTAGGCCTTTGTGCTTTCTGTCCTTGGGCTGAGGAGCGGCCTTGACCAAGTAGGTGTGTTCTGAACCATTATGTGTTGTTGGTTAATGGACGGATGCTTCTTGACTCGTGGATGATTGCACTTCCAGCATATGCAGGAAGAACTTTCTTCATGTTGCAATGGGATTCATAAGACGGGGCAGACATGCATGCTGTTGATTTTCCCTTTGGTGTCTGTGCCTTTCTTGTGCCGGATTATTGGGCCAGAGTCGTTGCACACGTTGTGCTTCAGCACAGGCTCTTTCAAGCAATGGACTTGTGATGCTTATGACCAGGCTTGCTTACAGCTTCTGACGTGTGTGTGTGTGGCAGACATTTGGCGATGTTCAAACCCTGAGGACAGACTACCGCTCGCACGGACTTGTGGTAGTTTCCTTTTACGACCTGAGGGCTGCTTTCAATGCTAAACGGGAGCTGCATGGTCGCTCGCTTGCAGAGCAGGTGCTACAAGTTCAATTCTCAGCTGCAGGGAATGCGTTTGGCAACTTTGGAGAGGTGAGATCTGGTATCATGGGTTCCAGAGGACGCCCTGAGGGCAGAAGACGGACTTTGGCCCCACACATTTGTGAGTGAACTGCAGATATCTATGGGTTGCCAAACGCTCACCTTGCACCAAGCCATTGATGGATGCTTGCACATCCACACTGTTTCTCAAATATTCGTTTGCCCACTCCCCACAACCAGGGTTTGGTGGCAATTTTGCCGTGCCTGGCAAGCTGTATGGTGCAGCACAAAGTCTGGCCATTTTTGCATGACAAACCATTGATGATACTGAGCATAACCATAGCCTACCCTCCAACACATCTTGTATCCCATAAAGACCACATGCACTGAGAATATGTCATGTGTCCACACCCTGCACAGCATTTTGGCGTGGCCCTGATTGCTTTTGGCTGGCTTTTGTTGGGGTGCAGAAGGGCCTGTCGGTTTTCTCATGGGGCTGCCTTTGGGAAATACTGCCATTCTCTGCAGATAGTGCTGACCACAAATCGTGATGTCCATCTGTGGTAGGGCTTGAGTGCTGTGCCATTTTCAGCATTGAAAGGCATTCCCTCGCTGGTCTTCAGTGGGTGCAGCTTGCTGTGTCACAAGCTTCAAATTTTTTCTTTGCTTGTCATTTGGCTGTTCCTTGTTGTCTGATGTCTTCTCTTTCTTCAGGGCACAATTCTTGTCTTCAACTGCGACCCCAACCTCGACTGCCAGGAGCTTGCCCGCATTTTCTCTGTCTATGGAGACGTGAAGCGCATTCAGGAGGTGCCGGACAAGAAGGACCACAAGCTGATCGAGTTTTACGACATTAGGCGTGCTAACCTAGCGATGCAGGCAATTAACAGAGCCGTTGTTGCAGGGGGCCAGTTCCGTCCAGATGTCCAGGTGGAAGGAGCTGCTCCAGCACAGCAGTCTGCTAATTTCCAAAGTATTGAGAGTGGAGGTTCTGGCGACCTCTCGGTAAGCTTTCCTTTGTAGTCAATTCAATTAATACAGTGAGTCATATATTCTTGCCGGTGCCATCGTGGACATGTGCCCTGGAGTCCTTGATTGGCGAGATGCTTGTGCAGGTTAGTCGCTGTTTGTGTTCATCACATTGGTTGAGTTGGAACGCCAAGAGGTGTCACGTTTGTATCCTGCCCCCATACATCAAACTGTGCATATGTTCATCAAGGGTGGTGACAAGATGCTGCTCCTCGCATGTTTTGTTTAAAAACTGTCGTTTCCGCAGGGTCAGCCATTGGCACACAGCTGGGATGGTTCTGTCTCAGCAGCGTCCAGAATGAAATCTCTGCTGGAGATGGGCGGTGTTCAGAGTGCCGAGGACTTGTTTGGCACAGGCGTAGGCCAGGGGTCTCCATCAGCACAGGCCAACCCCTTGCTGGGTTCTGCGACGGGTATGCCATCAACTGGTATGGTGAAGTCGAACAGCGCACTGGCGCTTCAGGATTTGGCCTCATCTGCTGCCATGGGCCCCTCCAGGGTTCCTCCTGTCCCGCAGCTGGCCAGTGGCGCCCTACCCCTCACCGCACAGCTCGCCAAGGGCCTTAGGATCTCAGACAGTGCCTCGAGCCTGGGCAGCCGGATGTATGGCCGGCAACCCGCCCTGATGCAGAACTCCCCCGGCACTGTCGTGGGGTCCATGAGCATGCCCAGCGTGGCTGAAGGGCCGCTGCTGAAGGGGCTGGGGCCGAAGGCCATGCCCCCTCCAGGCATGTTGGCTGGCATGCAGCAGCAGCCAGGAATGGTGTCTGGTTTGATGCAACAGGTGGGTGCTGGAGCTCAGCCATCAGCAGAGGCGCTGCAGGCGTCAGCCTCAGGCCTTCCCACAGGTTTGCTGAACAGCCCCAATGCTGCACGCCTGCTGGCTGGGCACCTGGGGGGCAGGACTGGCCTCTCCAACAGCACCAGCGTGGGCTCAGGGCTGGACATCTACGGCCAGCAGTCTGCCCTCAGCAATGCGATCGCGGGGCTGCAGCAGGGCACCTTCCTGGGCGCCCAGGGTCCGCAGCCGATGGGCAGGCCTGCCGCTGGAGTTGCCCCCGCCAGCCCTGCCCTGTGGGGTCAGGCTGGAGCCCAGCTGCCCAACACCCAGTCGCTGGCGGCCTCAAATGCGGGCCTGTACGAAGCAATCTCCAAGCTGCAACAGGCCGGCGTGGCCGCAAGTGCCATCCCCGGGCTTGTAGCCAACGCCGGCCTGGGGCCCCAGCCCAACGCCTATCTCCAGGCAGCGATCGCTGCAAATGCAGCCCAGCTGCTGCAGCAGGCAATCGGGGGTGGGGTCCTGCCCAGCCTGATGCAAGGCGCTGGGTCCAGCGGGCTGGACCTGACTGGCCTCTCGAAGAGTGCCAGTTCCCCGGCCCTGAACCTCGCCCAAGAGGAGCCACGGGAGCAGCACCGAGACCACAGGTCAGGGGGGCGTCTGAGCCGAAGGAACGTGGATCCTGTGCTGGAGGCGGAGCGGCGGGCCCAGCAGCAGAGACTGTACGCGCTGGACATCGACCGGGTGAACTCTGGGGAGGACAAGCGCACAACGCTGATGGTGAAGAACATACCCAACAAGTACACCCAGAAGATGCTGCTGGCTTCCATCGACGAGACGCTGCGAGGCAAGTACGACTTCTTCTACCTGCCCATTGACTTCAAAAACAAGTGTAACGTGGGCTATGGGTTCATCAACATGATGACGCCCAAGGACATCATCCCTGTGTTTGAGCGCTTCCACAACAAGAAGTGGGAGCGGTTCAACAGCGAGAAGGTGTGCTGCATCACGTACGCCCGCATACAGGGCAAAGCAGCCCTTGTGAACCATTTTCAGAACTCAAGCTTGATGCACGAGGACAAGAAGCATAGGCCAGTTCTTTTCACCAGTGATGGCCCATCACAGGGGGAGCCAGAGCCCTTTCCAGTGGGTCCCAACGTGCGCCCTCGGATAACATTCAAGGAACGAGATTTTCGATCGAGGGAGAAAGGCGGATACTGGGGGTGAGATCGGGGGCCAACCACGCACCCCCCGGTGTTACTTTGGTCTGGTGGCTGTGGCAGCAGCAGATCGCCAGGTCGCAACGGTGGAAACGGCCTGACAGGAAAGGGGCTGGCGGATAGCTTTGCTGCATTTTTGTTTTTTAGTTGGTGTTGGGCCGTTCTCCTCTCAGATGCAATGTGGCAGGATGCTTGAGGATTTTCCCCTCGTGACCCGGAGCATGCGAGTTGGCTCAGGCAGATGCTGGGTGGTGTTTTTGCTTTCCAACGCTGGCCATGGGTTTGAGCAAAGCTGGAAACAAACGAGGTGCCCTGGGGACAGGCGGGGCTGCCTGGCCTGTGGCCATGGGCTGCCTCTTGTCAGGCCTTGGATTGAAGCGCTGCGTGAGAAGCGCAGCACAGGCACATCCTCTTCTCTACACTGGATCTACTGCCTTCTGGATGGCCCAGCCCTTCCCAGCTGCTCGTTGGGCAACTTTTCCTGCCAGCCAAGAAGCTGCGAATTTCTTGATTTCATGGTTGTATGTTGGAGCCCAGTCCAGCGTTGCCTGCGGCTCTGCACGCATGGCAATGGCTGCTGCTCAGTGCTGGTGGATGGTCAAGCGAGCTGGGGAGGCAATGGAGGTGGTGCAGAGACCAGAAGCGACTGAAACACGTTGGACAGTGGGCATAGATGTGATGAATTGCTGATCAGTGACTTGAATGGAACCCGAAATTGACAAAGTACACATGTGGTTGAATGGGCCTCAGTGCATCTCTGTGGTTGTGGGAGTGCGGAAATGTGAAGCAAGGGGCAGGTGCGAATGTGAACGTTTTCCCTGTTGTGGCATTGGTGCTGTGACGGATCGATCACGACGTCAGTGGGGACTGAATAAAGGGGCTGTCGTTGGGTTTTGGCAGCAGGTGCACGGCGAGTGGGTCCAGGCGAGATGCTGCTTGCCGGTGTGGGGTAGATGAGCCGGTGGCAGGGCGGCCTGGACGGGCAAGGCTCACTAAGTCTGCAGGACATAGGGCTAGTGCGCCAGATCGGCACGTGTGACCAGGCACACCCTTTTTTTGCTGATGCCGATGCCAATGTTGTGCACAGACGGGCGCCGGTTTGCTAGGCGCGAGTGCGTTTCCACTGTGGTGCAATAATGTATACATGCAAGGGGCCCGCTGTTAAGGGGCATGGGAAAGGGGTGCGTTCGTTTGTGTTCGCTCAGTGCGCTGTATTGCTGTGCGACATGCATGGCCCTGGGGCCCTGCATGCACACCTGTGTGTGCTCATATCTGTGCGTGTATGAATAGACTCATTTTTTGGTGGGATTCGGATTTTTGAGCGGGCGGGGGAATGGGGGCGTCCGATGCGCAATGCAGCAGTTTGTTATTATCGTCAGTGCTGGGGACAGGGATGGCTGGCTGTCGCAGCATTCGGATTGTGGGCAGCTTGACCGAAGGGTGCCTTCATGGCCAAGTTCACTCCTTGTTTTTTTGGTGTTCACCTCGGATACTGTCGGGCTGTTCACGAATGACTGGAACCTTTGAAGGGCTCGTCATCGCGCATTTCTGCTTGTGGCCCCTGTGATGCGCCCAACATCATTGCCTTTTTCGCTGTAATTTCCTGTGGGGCCTGCCATCACTGCCCTTGCCCCTTCAGTCCTGGGGTTTGCACAGTTGAATTCATTTTTTAACGTTCCTTTGAAAGGCAAAGCTGGGCCCTTGCGCCTTGCAGGCGACGATGGGCTTGAACCGCGTCGTGAAGGTTGCGTTCATGGGGGCTCGATCCAATGAAAGCCATCACGGGGACAGGCTCTTTTTGTATTCTTTTCGGTGTTGTTGTGTTTCCCGCTGTTCATGTCGATGCGATCTGTAACAGTGTCAGGCGTTACTTGCCTAAGGGGCACGCCCATTTGTAAGAGATCAAAAGACCCGCATGCATCTTGGGTCGCGCGACGCCACGTGCGCGATCGCGCCCAGCGTGACGCCGTACGTTTGGGGTTAGGTAAATCCCTGTGACGGAGGGAGGCGTCACGTGGTCTGCGCGTTGCTGGGCGGATCCTCGGCTGGTGTCGAGCTGGACATTTCAGCCTCTTGTTTGGGTTAATCCCGTGCAGGGATTGTGGACGCTTAATGCCAAACATTTGCACACAAACCAATGCACTGGCGTCTCCTTGCCCTCGTTCAGCGATTGCCCGCCACGATCAAGGCCATCAGCATTACTCGGCAACAGCATGCAACTCGTATCAGGGCAAGTGGCGGTGCCCCTTGTGCCTCCTCTGGCCCAGCGGTACTTTCCACCGTCTGGACGGCATCGTTTGCAAACCACGTGGCAGCGACAGTGCGTCTTGCGAGCCTCCATTTCTGGAGCAATGGTCGACTGCCTTTCGCATTCACAGCACCCCGTTAAGCAGCTGCGCTTCGCTCATTCTCAGGACGAAAAACGAACAGATAAAAAGGAAGAAAATGGCAGACAATGAAGAAAGACGAGGTGCTTTAGCCAGCACCCACACGACCGGACAGCTGCGCGGCCGGAGCGCTTGCAGCCAACCATCCACCGCACAGATGGGCGAAGAAACGCCCGCAAACACGCGCTCATTTCGCGGCGCACCTCCGGCCACTGCGCAATAGTTTCTCCAACCCTCCCACGAGTACCACCCCGCCCCACCTCCTTTTAGTCAACCTCACAGGCGCCGTATCAAGGCCTGCGTCCAGCGCCCTGCCCCCCGCCAGCGGGGCCCCCGAAACATAGGCCCGACCTGGCCCTTCCCAGCGCTCGCCTCAGCCGCCCGAGAACGCCCTTTGGCCTCCCGCCTCCCCCGCCGGCCTCCCCCCGATGCCGCCTGGCATCCTCGCTTTCCAGCGCCCTCCCACCCCACCCCTCCGCCAGCGCCTTGCCCTTCCGGCCCACGTCTGCCGCTTCCGGCGATCCCCGCCAGTTGAACGGCAACACCCCAATCCCATCTTCAATCGCCACCCCGCCTCCAGATCCCACAGACGCTTGCATTCTCCCTGCAGACCCCTCGCGGACCGCCCCGCCATATCGATAATCCGCATCCCCCCGCCATCGATACCTCGCCTCGGGAAAAGGAGGATTCACAACAGCATTTCTCCCTCTCAACTCGGCCAACTCGGTTAACCTCCTTCCATCGAATAGGTCCTCCGCCGCCGGCGGTGAGCCGTCCGCCCGGTTCGCCTGGTGGGCCGTCCTCCCCCAGGCGTCCTCGGAGACACGCACCGGCGGCAGCAGCTCCCCGGGGCCCATCTCGAACCCAGCCCGTCGGTGCGACCGGGACCGCGGGCCCGGCCCGGGCCCAAGGGCCTCCTCCCGGCCCAGCAGGCCGGGCCTGTTCCTCATCACCCCCGCGCGGCGCCCTCCCCCTCCCCCCCTTGGGGTGGATCAGGTCACGCCCGCTGGCTGGTTGCACCACAGCTCGAACCCGGCGCCCGGCGCCCACATGTCAGGGCGGGGCCGCCCGGCTCGTACGACAATAACCCGGGTCCGGGCGGAGTTAGTCGGGGACGATTTCCGCGGCTAAGTGCGGTCAGGAGACCGGTAGGGGCCCCTTTTGGCGCTACCCCAACCAAGCGCCTCGTTCAGGCGCCGCACGGCACTTGGCAAGCACCCGCTTCGCTCTCCGCTCTTCGGAAGTGCAACCGGCGGCGCCCCAAGGCCGGGATTTGCCCTTCGGTGTGCAGGCAGCGCAATGGGGGGCGACGCTGCGCGGTCCGCCGCCCCCAGCGCCCACGACGCCCGGGTTGTTCGCGAAGGCCCTGAACGTGGCTGGCCGGGGCAGTCTCGTTGGCGCGCTCCCGGGAGGGCTTCCGAAGGTCCCGCTCAGGGGCGGCCGGGATGGCGCCTCCCCTCGCTTCGTCGACCGGAGAGCGCGGGACGAACCCGCGGACTGATGTTCGGGGAGCGCCGGCGGGCAGCGGCGCGCCGCTCCCACTCAGGGCTTCGGCACTGCGGGGCGCACGCTGCAGAAAGCGGCGCCCTCCAGGAGGTCGCTCTCCAATCCCGCGGAGCCTCCAGCCGGTCGCTGTGCCCAGAGGGCGGGCGAGGCCCGCCGGTGCGGGAGGCTGTGGCGGGCCGCCGCCCAGGGTGACTGCGCCCGCCGCGAGCCACACGGTGCTGCGGACGGGCCCGTGTGGAGACGTTGGCGCCGACTGTGCCCACACCAGTAATGGGCCCAGTGGACAACGAGTCGTGTAACGAGCGCGTTGATGATGCATGCCCCCGCTCGCATGTGCGACGCGGGGGTGAGGTGCCCCTCGGGTGGTGGTACTGACGGGCGAGGTCGAGGGTCACACGTCGCTTCGGGTCGGTTCGGGGGGTGCTGTTCGGTTCACAGCAAAATGGCACACATTGTAAGCCACCGTTGCAGAAATGGTGATCGAAAGTTGGTTGCATATGCTGAAAAGAAAGAAAGATGTTTTATAGTTGAAAAGGAAAAAAACAAAATGCAGTGTGAAGGAAAAGCATGTGCATCCCATTGTTCAACTTGGGAGACATGCTAACGCACATTTTTATACTCAGGGCCAATAGTTTAGCAATAATATATACTTGAAGCAAGGAAAATAGAGCAGAATACATAATTCCCATGTGGCAACACCAGGCACCACCCGTCCAAGCTGCGGAGATTTGGTGTTACACCAATGGCTAACGGGGCCGCGGACCACACTCCGGTTACACCGGAACAAATGTGTGAACTGGCAGGGTGATTGTCGAGCGCAGACCAGGCACAGTGAGGCCAAGCGGGGGTGGAGTGAGGAATCCACAGGGCTGCCATGGAGCAGAAGCGGCCGCGGACCACGGTGTGAGGGATTAGAGGGTAGTTGTGCTATGTAGTGGGGTAGTTAGGGTAGATAGTAACCGGTGTGAGGAGTACCGGGCTCGTAGTGTAACTTGTCTAGGGGGATAGAGTGACAAACCAGGAAGAGGGAGAAGTTGAGAGACCCCAACATGGGTATAAAGGGGTTGTTGTGAGTCTGGGACGTTACCCTTTTGTCAAACAGAACAATGTAACAAGCACCAAATGTGACATGGCTGCTTGAGGTTAGGCAGTTATTGGCGTTTTCTGGAGTGGGAATTATGTAATTAGGTAAATCTCTCTTTTGTGGGTGTTATTTAGAGCTTCTTGGTTCCAACGCACCCTTAAACGTTGTAAAGATCTGTGCCCGGACATGGCACGACCCTTCGGGGTGAGCGCAGTGGAATTCGACATGCGGAGGGCACCGTATACCGATTCACCGCATCAAAATGCGACTGAAATCGCTTCACACAGGACGTTGGGTTTATCCCTATGCAGGGAATCACCCGCCCGATCGTCAGGTCCCACCCTCACAGCGTGAGGCGGCCCATTCAGGTACTCCGATAACGAGACAAATGCTCTTACAGACCGGGGGCGGCTACAATGCGCACCCCCGCCACTTTATACATTGTTTTGACCAGGGTCATACGACAAAATGCAAAAGGTCCACCATAAGGTCCATTTGGGGATCCAGATCTCCCCACAACCACACATCTGGACACCCCTTACAGCTTGACCCTCGCACCGCCCCACTGGTCATCTCACCAAACCACTTTGACCCTTTTCTCGTACACAACGTCCATTTCAGTTCACCCACATTGTATCTCTTCCCGTCCGCATACCCTCAGGACATCCCACTGAATCCCTATATGGTCTAGTCATTACTTACAAGTCACATCA